CCCGCACAGTTGCTTCGCTATTTTAGAGTATTCTTAAGACGCTTAAAAGCTCTTTTTGTATCGCATAACAAATCATTCGCTCGCAAATTAATGGACAATTGAACATTTAAAAGAATAAATAAATAGGATATCTGATTTTAACCGCTTAAGACGAAAGTCCCGACCTTTTCTCCCAGAGGACAAGTAAAACGATTACTCGATTATCAAATATACCGTGTGATGAAGGAAAAATTTTAAAGTTACCTCTGACTGTTGAATTTAGGGCTAACGTCGAAAGTTAAAATGCTGCAACTTCTCCACAAAGGTCAGGTACAACCTAAGAATTCATTTATAATTACCCATATTCACGTAAATCCATAGAAATATAACCATTCCGATAGCCATATCGCTTTGATCCAACACAGAAAGGACTATTAGAGCAAGGTGAAGGGAACAAATAACGTGTTACTGCCGGAGGTCGCAAACTATGCAAACCTACCGTCACTGTTTCATGCAAATAAAGCACATCACATGTGCAAATGCTTATGTAGGCTTTTTCACTGCCGGCTATATAGAACTTGAAAAATTGAGCAAGCTCTGCGGCGCGTGACTTGGTTTCTGTCACTAGATTTGGATACCATTAATGTGGGTTAGTAATTATGAGCGCAGCACCCAATCTGACAATTCTTTTGTGACTCAAATTCTTCACCGGATAGCCGCGAGGCAGGACCTATGTAAGCTATATTTGAACTCATTGGCGCGTGCCGTTTTTGCTGAAATTCAACTTGACGTGAACATGGGTAATGAACCTAATTAAGCGCCCAGTAATTTTGAAGTCACTGGAATATTTATCAATTGTACGGGAATTCATCAATTGTACGGCGGCGAGAACCTCATTGGGTATTCTAGAGCGTTTTCTGCGGCCCCAAATTGACCAGCAAAGAATGTTTATTACTTCTCTGTCATCGTCTCGCAGCATATCGAAATTTGGAGGGCACTGCAAACCCAGCAACTAAGTAAGGCCATGATTTGAGAAACGTTTCGTTAAAAACTCGAAGAAGGACTCGTATTTAAATGTGGTGAAAATTTGTCAGGGTCACCATCTTCGATCCTTCACAAGCAGTTCTTCAGTTCTTCTTTACAGTCAGTAAAGCACCCAATCTGCCAATACTGTTAGGGTTTAAATTCCTCGCCGTAGGGTTGCGGTGAGACAGGTCGGGACCTATGTAAGCTTTTTATTTTGCTATTTTAAAACTGGCAGGTGCCGTTTTTCTTGAAAGTCAACTTGACGTGAATATGGGTAATGGACCTAATTTGATGATCATCATCCTCACAATAACTAACGCCATCTGATCGGTTGATTGTATTTGAACTTCGTCTAAGTAAGTATTAATATGTCAGTCTAATTCATTAAACCGTATTTGCGACAGCTCTTATTAAGTCAGTGTGTACATTCCCAGCGTGAACTTCGAATTTGTGTAGATTCGTTATGCCTACATTTGATTATCTTATATCTAACAGTCTGTTTTGCTGGGCCGATGTGCCAGTCGGAAGGAAGAATCTACATAGTTCAGGTTACGCACCGCTTACTTCTATTCTTAACTAAAAACTGAATAAAATTGCATTTCATGTTGAGTTCATAAACAAAATTACACGGCTACACATTGGCAAAGAACAATTATAAGACACAGTGATCTAATCGATGAAATAGATGAAATTTCTCCAGTTCAGATCGATGCCGGAGCGGCAGATATTCACTCAACTATTATAACAAGTTGAACAGTTCTCAAAAGGAAGTGTTTCTTAGTTCAGTAGTTATCACGTAAATATTGTTCAAGAAAGCCTTGTTATTCTGTCCAATTCATGTAATTGAGTCTAAGTTTCTATTCTTTCTCTCAGGATGCTGCGTTAAGTTCCGTCAGACTCCCTCCGGGATTCCTTGATACATATCTGCAAGAGGGAGATACAATTCGTACCCATCATATTTAAA